TTGTAAGTGTACAGACCATTTAATAAGAAGATACTTTATGAAGACAGTTCACTTCGAGTATACAGACAGGAGCCATCTTAAAAAATAGTCTCGATAAGTCGATCCCCGAACGCCGTTCATACAGTTCAGAAGTTCGTTGAACTTCATACAGTTCTGATCACTCAGCACGACCTTCGTGGTTTGACTTATCAAGACTATTTTTTAAGATGGCTCCTGTCTGTATACGCGAAGTGAACTGTCTTCATAAAGTATCTTCTTATTAAACAGTCTGTACTCTAACAAAGTTCTCAATGCTTCGTTTTGCATGTATGGAGCCTCATTATGTTACTGTGTTAGTGTGGGGCTATTTTGAGCCTTGTTAGTCATATAAACTAGCCATTTCTTTTTACTTAGTCAATGCCCCCATTACTAGCATTATACGTTAAACAGTTTTTAGAGATAAAACTCTTTACATTCGATTATCATGAAAACAAATCTCAGAGAACGGTTGACTATGTACCGATGTTTTATTAGACCAAAGGTTCATTGTTCGCCGGAGTTCTCCTTTAACAAAGGTTATCATGAGGATTGTAGATGTCTTAACAAATGTTAGTAGACCGGGATTTTAAAATGAGCCGTTCATTCATAAATACACAAGATCGCTGTGAAGATACAGACCGGAAGGCAAAGGACAACGAGCGCAGCGCTGAACAGGGGCGGAGCTACATAAGGTCAACAGGCAAAAAAAGTCAAAAACATTATTAACTGGTATTTTTTCTGATCAAAACCTTTTCGGAACGGTAATGTATTATAAGATACTGACCGATTGATTCTCACCCAGTGTTTAAGTCTTGTTCCAAAGTGACTTAAATAACGTCAAACACACAAAACATGCACATGGATTAATGCTGAATGAGAGAGGTCATTTATTAGTTTCTACATTAATTTCACACAAACTGTTCTTTTAGTTTAGCTTTAAATAAATTTCTTTAGGATTGGCGTTTATAATTAATGCCACTATAAATGATGTTTGTTTTATTTCTCATTCTTCAAAATACTGTTCAGTTTAAAGGATTTGTCGAGGAGTGGCGGGAACTATACTTTTAAACACAATAACATGCTTCGTTTGTATGGCCCTTAGACCGAGTAGTTTTGCTTTAACATGTTATTAGGGAAATTTAGGGAATCTAAGCTCTTTCGAGTTAAATGAGGAAGTGAAATGACATCACATTATTTTAACCAACATGCTGAAGCTGAAATAAAGTTCAATATTTCATACCTTAATGAGATAGCGTGTAATGTCTCGTCCCGCAATGTCCAGTCTCCTGGTGAGATGGGGCAGAGAGAAGCCCTCGTACACAGGACAAATGTGGGTTACTCCATCGCCCGAGTCCACCACCACCCCTGTCAAAAGGCCTGGGTGTAGCACAACAGACAAATATTGATAGAATGAAACAGCGAAACAGCGACGCACTGATTGCAATAAAATGTTTTCCAATTCAACTTTGAGCAATGACGTTGTGTACAAGTTTAATACAGTGCATAGGATAACTCACCTTGAGCATAAAGTGTAAGCACAGCCTGGATGGCGATGTAAACCCCTGCAAACTGGTACGTCTCAAACATGACCTAAAGGCAGTGGAACAAACAAAGAAAAATTAAACCGTGATATATTTATTCATTTATTTTTAGCGATCTCGAAACATTTTCGGGCAGACTCATCACGGAGACTCACTAGTAGCCGAGTCTTGTTGTTTAACTACTGCGCTCTGTTACCGGTAGGCGTGGCCTCCTAGGGCAGCGAAGCAAGTGCATTCTGGGAGTTGTCTTTCATCCACATAAGCCAAAAATACATTTTCTGGCTTTGCTCAGTCTAGAAAGCTCCAAATTCAAAACTAATTTCACATTTCATCTACATAAATGACCCATTTTAAATACACATTCATCTTTCCAGAGGTGAAGTATCCCTTTAACAGCATTTATTTGAAATAGAAATGTAACAAATGTAAAAATGTTGACTTAAAATTACAGGAGTGTATATTCATAATCAAGGGCATCAAAACTCTTATAAAATTCGACCTTTTCAGCATTTTAAGTGATGTTCTGATAAACATTTTTCTGTGCATGTTTTCACACACAATTTTTGGATATATTTAACAATAAAAGTATTCTCATGAACTCTAACAGTAATAATAAACTTTAAGAACAAGAATTACAGCAATATAATCACTCATATAACGGGGGTGGGTAGGCTTCATGCGTCTTAATGGAAAGAATATTTTCTTAGTTGTTGTCTTTGGATTACGGCGTGAAATGTGACTTCACACGAATGGTCTGACAACACACCTCTATGATCTTCTCGCGGTTCTTGGTTGGGTTCATGGGAGGTTCTGTGAGGAGGATCTTGCAGTTGCGCGATTCGATATTGAGCTTCTCTGGGCCGAAGGTGTAATCCCATAAGTGCTTCATATCATCCCAGTTCCTGACGATGCCGTTCTCCATTGGATAGTTCACCTCCAGCATTGAGCGCAGTTCACTCGCTTCATCTCCCACCATCAGATCCTGAGTAATCAGAAGACAAAGGTTAGAAACACCATCTCGGCTCATAGTTATGATGACGAAACCTGTCAAAAACACCTCAATGTGACAGCTCAGCATCAGCATTTCCACAACAGATGCACGGCACCGGGAATCTCATGTCCCAGAGCTAATCCACTTTGGTGCAGTTAGTGTTTGGGTCACGAGGAAGCCTTTGTTACGGCTCAAGCTCACGCTGGGAAGAGATGGGCATACGGACAGATGTTGTCCTCGTTCACCAGCATGCACAGAACAGCAGATCTCCATGCACAACAACATATTAGTAATTTGCTTTGACCACCCTTTACCCCAGATAAACCCTCACATGTTTAGCACTGGCTTTAAAGGGGTCATGAATTTAATGTTTTTCTATTTTATAATGTTTCCTGAGGTGCACTTTTAATGTTAGTATGATTTTAATATAAAAAATGGTCATAATTTTGAAATAAAAAGCATTTTTCCTAGCCTGATTTTAGCATCTGATTTGAATGCTCTGTTTGAAGGGGCGTGTCTGTGTGAGACTCCAGTGTACGCCCACTGCTGTGATTGGCTAAAGTATGACTCCAGTGTATACGCCCACTGCTGTGATTGGCTAAAGTGAGACTCCAGTGTATACGCCCACTACTGTGATTGGCTAAAGTGAGACTCCAGTGTATACGGCCACTGCTGTGATTGGCTAAAGTGAGACTCCAGTGTATACGCCCACTACTGTGATTGGCTAAAGTGAGACTCCAGTGTATACGCCCACTGCTGTGATTGGCTAAAGTGAGACTCCAGTGTATACGCCCATTGCTGTGATTGGCTGCTGTGAGACTCCAGTGTATACACCCACTACTGTGATTGGCTAAAGTGAGACTCCAGTGTATACGGCCACTGCTGTGATTGGCTAAAGTGAGACTCCAGTGTATACACCCACTGCTGTGATTGGCTAAAGTGAGACTCCAGTGTATACGGCCACTGCTGTGATTGGCTAAAGTGAGACTCCAGTTTATACACCCACTGCTGTGATTGGCTAAAGTGAGACTCCAATGTATACGCCCACTGTCGGATTGGCTAAAGTGAGACTCCAGTGTATACGCCCACTGCTGTGATTGGCTAAAGTGAGACTCCAGTGTATACGCCCACTGATGTGATTGGCTAAAGTGAGACTCCAATGTATATGCCCACTGCTGTGATTGGCTTAAGTGAGACTCCAGTGTATACGCCCACTGCTGTGATTGGATAAAGTGAGACTCCAGTGTATACGCCCACTGCTGTGATTGGCTAAAGTGAGACTCCAGTGTATACACCCACTACTGTGATTGGCTAAAGTGAGACTCCAGTGTATACGGCCACTGCTGTGATTGGCTAAAGTGAGACTCCAGTGTATACACCCACTGCTGTGATTGGCTAAAGTGAGACTCCAGTGTATACGCCCACTGCTGTGATTGGCTAAAGTGAGACTCCAGTGTATACGCCCATTGCTGTGATTGGCTGCTGTGAGACTCCAGTGTATACACCCACTACTGTGATTGGCTAAAGTGAGACTCCAGTGTATACGGCCACTGCTGTGATTGGCTAAAGTGAGACTCCAGTTTATACACCCACTGCTGTGATTGGCTAAAGTGAGACTCCAATGTATACGCCCACTGTCGGATTGGCTAAAGTGAGACTCCAGTGTATACGCCCACTGCTGTGATTGGCTAAAGTGAGACTCCAGTGTATACGCCCACTGATGTGATTGGCTAAAGTGAGACTCCAATGTATATGCCCACTGCTGTGATTGGCTAAACTGAGACTCCAGTGTATACGCCCACTGCTGTGATTGGATAAAGTGAGACTCCAGTGTATACGCCCACTGCTGTGATTGGCTAAAGTGAGACTCCAGTGTATACACCCACTGCTGTGATTGGCTAAAGTGAGACTCCAGCGTATACACCCACTGCTGTGATTGGCTAACGCAAGTAAACTCTCTCGAAAACATATAAAACGTTTTTAATAGCTATCGAGATTAACGGATTGTGAAAAGGGGAGTGTTTTTTTTTTAAATCGCTATCTATATATAATTTAATCACAATTTAAAGAACATTATTTAATGCTACTAAAGACAAATAAAGTGAAGTTGATCATTTAATCACTGGCTTGATTTACTGATGCATACGTAACGTTTGTGACGTTGCTGGCAGATCCATATCGTAAAGGTCTGTTTGCAAAGCCTGCGCTGAAATTGCGACTGAATTAGCAAATAATTCACAGAGAAATGCACCGAATACAAACAAATTAAAAAACACATTCCTAGTATTAGGATCCATCGGAAGGTAATGATATTGATCCTGTGTCGATCTTTTCTCGTTCTCATATCACTATTCACTAACGCTCCAGTGGGCGGCACCAAAGACGCGTTGATTTAGACGTAGGCGTTGATATTCTTCTGCAAAGGCGGTCTTGCGTTGCCCTATGATGTCATAATTCCACACTTTTTAGACCATATCGTTTTCTAGTCTTGGTTTAAATAAAAGCTGTTTTTGGAATAAGATGATATTTTTATAGTCAAAGGAAATTTGAATTCTCAGTTCATGACCCCTTTAATACCCGTTCACACCAAATATGATAAGTTTTATTAATCAATCTACTTCAATGAGAATAGAGAAGTCCACACCATAACTATAACGACTGTTCTTTAACCCTAATTGATGGAGTGTGTAGCTTTGAATTTCTTCAACAACCATCTAAGAAGACACATCATGGCCATATTCCAGTAGACTTTACAGAGAGCTTGACTCTTGCAAAAATGTATGCACCTCTTATTGGAAATAACAACATCACAACATTTATTTCCATCGATGTTTTGTTTGGTCAAGATCATGTATTGTCAATGCAAGTGTCCTGTACTCTGTAATATCCAAACAAAAATGATTCGTGTTGCTCCCTCACAACCTTTCTTTCACAATTTGGGCATGATGAATCTTGATGAATCTGGAATATGGTCAGGATGTGTCTTCATACATGGTTGTTTAAGAAATGAAAAGCTACACACTCCATCAATTACGGTTAGAAGAACTGTTGCCAAACATACAACATGCTAGAAACACAATCACTCCAATAATGATCCAGTCATAGACTCTATTTAAATTATTTAAATCCAAAGAGTGACTTTTTTTATATATACGGTTTGGTAATAGAGATGCTTGTCTGAGAGAACATCTCTAATAACTAGGAAGGAGTATTGAATGAATCACTGAATGTTAATTTTTATGGATTATCACGTCGTGCACGGGTACAGTGTGTTCTTTGGCACCGGCACAGGATGTGTCTGGTAGTGCCATGTGTTTTCAATGGAGCCCCGCTGTCCTTAAATTTCATCTGTCTGACTAACTTCCTGGGTACAGCACACTTTCAGCAACATTGTGTTCATCTGAAAAGGCATATTCAGGGTTGTCTAAAAGTGTTTTGAAAAAAAGGAGCACTGTGTGTACAATATCTTGTGAACACTGCTACCAATGCATCTTTTGTGACACGTCAGAATCTATTTAGAGCTTATTGGTTTTCTTCTAGTTCCTCAAACATTATTCAAGAGGCCAGGGGACATTGAACAGACAGACAGGATGATGGGCAGCTACAAAAAGCGCAGAGACATCAACATTTCCCTCCATCTTGAGGCCGACTTCTGCTAAATCTATTTCGGACCGGAGAAGGAAATTAAGCTATAATGTCTGATGGGGATATGAATAGTTGCCAAGTTCTGTGAAAGACATTTGCAGCTTTGAAGCAGAAGACAAAGTGCAGGGTAAGAGCACTTGCACTGTGGCAATTTAGATCATACAATACAAAATATAAAGGGCTGGGCGATACATAGAATCCTACTCACAATATATTGTGCAATGATATAGAAAATTGCAGTTTCTTTTACTGAAGTTTATAAGGAATGAGAAACTGTACAAAATAAATCAAGAATAACAAGAAATCAGAGATCAATAATCTGCAACACCACTGTAATACTGCATGGTGCAACACACTTTCCTCAGCAGGCGATAAGTGTTAAACAGAGCAAACGTCGTCGGGCTTTCACTTACCATTTTTTTGGTATTCTACTTTACCATGTGAAGAACAAGAAGGAAAGAGTGTAAGTATTAAAAGAAGGACAACATGCTTTATTTAAAGTCCCCCTGTGGTGAAAATCAAGTTTTTAATATTGTTTATATGTCTATGTGGTGTTTTTAATATGATTTCTGACAAACCATGTGCAAATTCATAAGTCAACACCATTGCTGAGTATTTTCTCTGTAAAACAGTGAACCAAAGACAGTCTCAAAAAAGACAGTGTTTCTGACATCACAAAATACCTTGAAGTCAATGACATCAACGTGCTTAGTAGGGTTGGGTATCGTTTGAATTTGAACGATTCTGATTCCGATTCCGATTCCTTGTTTCGATTCCGGTTCCTAACGATTCTCGATTCCGATTCTTTTAAGAGGCAGGGTCAAAAAAGTTTAGCTAACCTTGCTAACCAACGGCCTTTCTGAAGGAAATACTCCTTCTGTAAAAATACTCCTTTTGTCACAAATTTTGCATTTTGCCGAGATTTCGTTATTTTAAGAAAAGTGAAGCCACACTTTGGACCGCCGACGTAAGCTACTCATGTTCGACTCGCGCGGTTATGCCAACACTTCCGGTAGACGCTTCTTCGTTGGTGTTGTTCAGCGGTTTCTTCTTCCGCTCGGCGGACTGTGAATATTGAAACTAGGAATCGAAATTTTAACTTTTGAACGATTCCGGGAAAAACGAAAAGTTAATCCCGATTCCAATCGATACTCGATTCTCGATACCCAACCCTAGTGCTTAGCATATCATTAACAGCAAACTAGACGGGGAGTCTTGAGAGATGCAAGGTTATTGCATTATATTTTACTGTTGATATGAAAATTTGAGTAGATTTGGCAATATAGAGGGTATATGATGCAGGTGTATTACGATGTTATGACAAACTATATGCCTTGACTACAGGGGGACTTTAAAACAACCAAGCTGAAAGTTTTGAACATTACTTTTGAGTATTCTTCAATACAGAGTATTCTCCAACAAACTCCAAATTGATGGTATGACCAGGCAGCGAGTAGCCTGAGTGTGTGGACCTCACCTTAATCTCAATGTTGCCCACTTTAGTTGAGGATCGGATGATGGGCCGGCCCACCAGTGCTGGGAAGATGTGCTCTGGGAAGTTGGATCCGGCATAACCACATTTGACAAACTAAAGGATTCAGAGAGAGAGAGAAAAGTAATGAAGAATACTGTGTTCATCCTCTACTTGTTAAAACAGGAGAGACAACAAGATAGCAAAACAAAACTGCATGTGATGCCTTTAACACAGCTTGATGATTAGCCGTTGTTATGGTTCGCAGGTGCAGAGGTTATATGTTAAATGCAATAATAATAATAATAATAATAAATATTTATTATTTATTTATTTTTGCTTTTAAACATATATAATCTCACCCAAAATAAAAGTTTTTATTTTTGTTTAAAGTGTTTACATAATATATGTGTGTCAGCTGTGTATAAATTATTTTGTATATATAAATACGTGCATGTATATATTTAAGAATTATTTGCACATATTACTGAGTATATAAATATACTGTATATATATATATATATATATATATACATGCAAACATAATCTATATTATATATAAATATAATATTTTAAATACGAAAAACACATTTTCTTAAATATATACATGCATGTGTGTGTATTTATATATACAAAACAATTATACACAGCACACACAAATATATTATGTAAAAACAAACTTTTATTTTGGATGCGATTAATCGCAATTAAAGTTCTAATATATATATATATATATATATATATATATATATATATATATATATATATATAAAACATTTTTTGCATTTAACATTTAACCTCTGCACCTGCTGATCATAAAAATGACAAATATTATTATTATTATTATTATTATTATTATTATTGGTCACTACAATATTTGACCAACTAGGTTTTTGTGATCACTGGATAAAAGTATCAATTTCAGAGAAATTGCACTCAAAAATAGCAATTTCTAGCAATTCTACAGATGAGCATAATTAGAAAAACTATATTTAATTGTATAAAATTTGTGCTGAATTTCCAATGACAAAAGGACTGGTTATAATGGCTTTTAAAATGCTCCAACACACATATGTTTTATAGACCATTTTGCAAGACGTGAACAACGCTGGTCCAGAAGCACTTCCTGTTTCAGTTTTTTAACACTACATAAAAGCTGGGATAAAATACAACCAACAGAACATATAAAACTGAATCAAAAATTTAAACAAACATCTTTAAGATGTTTTCTTTACATGTTAAATAAGGAAAACAGTTACAAATTGAAACAGGAAGTGTTTCTGGACCAGTGTTGTTTGCATCTTGCAAAATGGTCTATAAAATACTGCAACAGAGAGCCACAAGGACGACATAAGTTTGTAGGCCAATCAGGACGTTAGCATCACACTGGTTCCCTCCATTGCATTTTTCCATTGGTTAACCAACAAAAATGTATGATTCTTCATGTTTGTTCATCACGATAATCTTCAGAAATAAAAACAACTTTTATGATCCAAATGCAATCACCAGAATTAAAATCCAAAGCTATAAAGAAGAACTACGCCACAGAAACATGACTTCAACATCACCATTGTTGTTTCCTAATAATCTTTCAATCAAAAACCAAACAGTTTGATGTGATGACATTTAATGTCCTGACGTCCTCTGTATCCTAGATATGTATACGTAGATCGATGCCACATTCGAAAGCTGCATTCGAAAGCTGTGTGTCAAACGTTCACAACTGTGAGAATGTGTTGGTTTGTGTTTTTATATGTATTAACTCAATATTAGGATTTTATACTTTGGTAACTTGTTATTGTCATGTTATTTTGTCAATGTTGTATTGTGTTAGTTTAGCAAAATGATCTGCTGAAGTCTGTTGAAGATATAAAGAATCATACAAGTGTCTAACTGTTGCATATATGTGTGTGTGTGTGTTGTCGTTCCATTTAGCCACTTGTTAGCAATTGCTTTCCACAAGAAACATACAAATGACCACAGACCTTAGGCATTTAACCAAAAGAATTTTAAACATTTAAAAAAAAAAAAAAAAAGTTTCCAGGTTTTAGGACTGACTCCTGCTGCACTTAGTTCATACAGCATGTGGTAATCTGTACAATTTTACAAATGTGTTCTTAATTTAAATTCTGTCATAACTTACCATCAACTTTTTAGTGACCAACATTCTTCAAAATAATATATTTTGTGTTCAAAAGAAGAAAGAAACTCACACAGGTTTGGAGCAACATGAGGGTGAGTAAATGATTACAGAATTTTTTTTTTTTTTTTGGGTGAACTATCTCTTTAATTGTTTTATCTTTTTTTTTAGTTTCATTCATCATTCAGGCTCACCAACAAATGAGCTGGGCATCTGCTCTGTGAATCACCACCAACAAATATGTTTGCATAAAACTCAATAAAAATGTCACTTGTTTCTATGCACGATAACACAATTCCAAAAATGGTCTGAACGCTTTCATGCTCATTTATTGGTCAACTAACTCTTGCTTTCTCTGTGCAAGCTGTGGTTTTAACAGGTGACATCACTTCCTTCTGACTCATCCTGGCTCTTTATTTCATTGGCCGTCTGGGCCCAAACACTTTTAGTATTTACTGAAAATACACTACTAAAATATTCCTTGATCACATTATTCCCAGATCTCACTGTTTGCATTCTGATCACGTCACTCACGAGCCAACTATGGCGTCAAAATATATGACCACGCCCCCAAATCCCAGGATAAATTATATCAGGCATCAATTGCATTATGTATGATGTCTTCATTTTATGATCAACCAATACAGATCTTCCCCAACAATAGTGAAACTCGATTTAACTTACACAGCTAATTTATACACCGAAAAGCGCGAGAGGAAGTAACATCACCCGGTGCTTGCAAAATGCAAAACGTTATCAAAGCAAGTGGATGATCCATAAAAGGCAACATTCATAATGGATGGGGACAGCATGTTTCAACTGTAGCCATTCTTGTAAAGCAAAATTAATCGTATTATTATAGCAATGAATGACAGGAGCAAGCTAGCATGTTGAGATAACGCTGCTAGCTGCAAGATTGAGCCCTCGGGGTTTCCGATCATGCAACCGACCTGACCGAAATCGAAAAAAAAAACAACTCAATTATTATTTGTGTGCCGTTGTGTTTATGTTATTATGTATGTAGCGATTTATCAGGATCATATACCCAAATCAATCCACATTTCACAGCAACTGTGCTGCTAGCATCTAGTGCGGATTGTAATGAGCTGGTTTAATCTTAAATACGAGAAATAAAGAACACGAATCGCTTTACAGTCGGATAACACCGAGTTTTCGGCAGAGATGAATATAAGGGCAGCTGTCACACATTCCTTATATATGCGCTAAGCATTCAGGACTTCCTGTTAGGGGTCTGTCTTCCTCACTCTCATTTAACTTTAGCCAAAAGCTAAACGAGCCAAAAATAAATGACAGGTGTTAGAGTTGCGAACGTACCCCTGTTCCGTTATCACAAACCACCACTTTTCTTCCTTGGCTGTCCATCTTTCAAAGCACCGGAGCCGTCAGAGGCAGCCGAAGTTTCTGAAGAAAGTGCCCGTGCTTCAAGCACTCAGCAGCAGCCGCTTTCACTTCCTGTTCCTGACACTCGCGCAAGCAGATCAGCCTTGTTTTTTTTCCTCCAATGCCCCGCCTCCTGCGTCCTGATTGGCTAGTAAGACTTTCCAAGCGGTCTGCGATTGGACAGCTGATGTGTCATTCATTTAGCGTTACCTGAAGTAAACACATTTTCTATTCGATGTATTTTCACTTCCCCACTGTAATATCTTTTTATTAATGAATTATGCCTTTAGATTACAATAATGTATAACTTGTCTTCTACTCTAGGGTCACAGTAAAGAAAACTCACACACTATATGTAATTAATTAATTTAGATTTTACTCCAGTTGTAAGTTCAAAATGCATTGTACTTAGTAAGCTACGGCCAATGCTTTAACGTTTTGGAGAGATAATCAAAGTAATCTAGCCTTTTGTGTTTTCAAATGATGTCCATTCAATTAATAATAAAAAAAGCATAACAGATCTTGCTTTTAAATTAAGTATAAACTATTCAAATGAAAAGTGTCTACAATGTAAATAAGATTAAATGAAATGTTGTTTTCAACATAAAATATTTACGTGTTGAGGTCGGAACACTTCCTTGTGTTCCTAGTTTCCGGTCGGAATGCGACACTCTTTCATTGGCAGAACATCAACATGGCGGCTGTTCTGTCGCCGAGACCGTGCGATAGCAATCCCGCGACTCCTGGGACGCAGTCCGTGAAGGTCTGTGAATGTTTGCTGCTACATCTTGTGGCACAGACTGCAGTTATAACATTGTAGAATATGTGGCACACATATATGCTATTACTGCGTCGGTAAAAACTTGAATGTGAGCCAGAGTCGCCTTTGTTTATTTACTATTAGCCTGCTAGCCGATAGAGAGCTAAATACATACGTTATGTAATGCTCACAGAGTAAAACTTCTTGTCTAAAAGAAATTAAAACGCATGAAATGACCCCACATGTATTATTTAGATGGTTTTGGACAGACACTAATAGTTTATTGCGGCAATAGTATGGGTTTAGATCTAGGTAGCGCTGCTAAACATTATCTCTCAATTCCTCCCAATGGGGAACGTTGAAATTTCATTTAAGAAGTATTATTTATGTCTATTGAAACAGGATGACATTGAGGAGAATTCCAGTGATGGAAGTCAAGCCCTCAAGAGACGCAGGATGGGTTCAGGGGACAGTTCCCGGAGCTGTGACGCGTCCAACCAAGAGCTGGGGTGAGTAGCACATCTGACACACACAATCAACAAATGTGTTTTTATTAGAGGGTCATGAAACCCACCTGTTTCAGCAGCAGTCAGTTCACACCACAGATTTGAAAAGGCTACAAAAGTGAGAGACCCACAACAAAGCTACGGCTTCAGAGTCAGACACTTTTAATGAGAGCGAAATGAAACTATCAAAGCTTCCCACAGATGCACACGTCAATGTACCATTACACCTACACAATATACTCTTTTTTTTATATGTTCACGGTAAATTACATGTGGCACATATCCTGTGACAGCTTAGCCTGGATGCCAGCCCGAAGTTCGGTCTGGACTCGATCCATTGAGGAGTAATTATGATCAGACAAGAAACGTTTGAGCCAATCAAATTGCCAGGGCGGGCTTTATACGATGATAGACAGATGATCTGCAAGGACGTAATCATCACGTTATCAAAGAGCGCTTAACGTTTCCCTCAAAGATGACGTATAGATTCCGCTGTCGCGTCTGTTGTAAAATAAATTGACAGTGCATTAATTTTAATAGACAAACAGAGAATTGCCGTCCTTCCTACATGATTCGGCAAAAGTATAACTTATCAGCTGGATCCGACGGTCGTTAAGAAGATGGGACGTAATGAATAGCCTGTGGTCGTTGTGGTTTCTCCTTTGGTCACAATAATAGAGGAGTATGTTATTTAACTTCTAAAATAAGTAAGTTCTGTAGTTGACAACTGTATGCAAAGTAGTTCGCTTACTGCGTTGCTCTGATTGGTTGTAGGTTTAGTGACTATCCAATTGACTGCAGAGTTTTTTTTTTCCTGGTTCGGTTAAGACACGCCTCATAATCAAAGCCCTACGGAGAAGTTTAAGACTCATATTCTGACTAGAATATGACGAAGTCAGGCTAGTGACAGCTATAATTCAATGCACTAAATCTACAGCATTTCTTCTCTGCATCGAAAATATATATGAACATGCTGTTGCATCTTTGATGACTTTTGAGGCTTATTTTGCTGTGTTGTTATAAGCCGTTTGACTGGTTTTGATCCATCTCTCACTTACTGTATGTGATCATCTCACTGTTTGAATCGCCTGTCATAGAAATAAACACGTGGTGTCATGAATAATTAAGGCATCTTTTCATAGGTTAAGGACATGCAGTCTTATGAATAATTATGAGACACCGATGAGTCATCAATCCACTGTAGTGCAAGAAAACGACACATCCTGTGATGCTGACATGAAGATGAATTTAAACCCGTAAGTTGAAAATACAGTTTTTTTTGTTTTTATTTACTAGTTTTCTGCTGCAATCCAAACTAACAGATGGTAAAATTGACTTCTATGATGTTCAACACACGTGACATTACTGTTAAAATCTTCCCCTTGAAATCTTGCCAGTGGCGTAGGCTGAATTATTATTATTTTTTTATTATTGTTATTATAATTTTTTTGCCGGCGATGCAATGATATCCAGGCAGTCAAGCAGTGATTTTGTCAGAGGTCAATTTTCAATAAGGAATAACAAATTCAAGTAAAATTATAGACAAACAAATTGAAAAAGTTAAAATTAAAATAGCAAATAAGTTTAAACAAAAATAAAATATATCGTATTCTATAGTTTATTATAAATTCCAAAGTATTAACAGATGAAGATTGTGAAGGTCAGACTATTAAAAAAAAGAAGGATCCCAAAGAAGCAAGATATTTGTAGAGGTAAAAGAGAAGTGGAAGTGAAGAGCAACAAATATATCCAGGAAACTTACATCCTCCTAAATGTATGTTTTGGTCTGATAAGAAAAGGTCAAATTGACTTATCCATAATGTCATAGTTGGTGTAACGGCTAGGCTGACGTGGCCGTATGCTGAAATAAAATAATAACAAGTTGACACAAAGTTTGAACCAAATATTTGGCAAAAACATGGCATAGCGAGAGATTTATAATATGTTTTTGTAGGCCGGTCATTTTTGAAGGTGGTAAAAAATCCCCCCAAAATAAACAAATTTATGGAAGTTGTAATACCCTTTGTCCCGTGCGAATACATTAACTAGCATATTTGGAGAAAAGAAAATCCTCTCTGGGTCAAAATGACCAGAACACAATGTGAGTTTTAAAAGAATATATCTAGAAATATTTCAAACGACCCATCATTTTCTTTTATTATTAAAATAGATTCCTTCACCGTGACAATGGTACTATTTAGCAGTTTTTCTTGCACCATCATATTATATTTATTTCTAGGAAACTGCACCTGTTGGTGGTGTTATTGGCTGGCACAGTGTTAATTTCTTTGTATTGAGTCTTACTGTGTTTCTTTCCAGACCAACATACTTCCCTGCTGAAAATCTGACAGAATACAAATGGCCTCCGGATGACACAGGAGAGTATTATATGTTACAAGAACAAGTGAGCGAGTACTTGGGAGTCACGTCATTCAAACGGAAGTATCCAGGTAAGAGCAACAACAAGCCTCAAACTATCAGCAGGGAAAACCGAATTGAATGGTTTTCATGTTATCGGTCAAATAGTGATTCAGTTACTGATGATAGAGGTGAAGTTTTGTATTTTGCTGTCAACACGTGTTTTGATTTTCAACTTTATACCAGATTTGGAAAGAAGAGACCTGTCTCACAAAGAAAAACTGTATCTGAGAGAGCAAAACGTCATTACGGAAACGCAGTGTACACTGGGTAAGATTTTAATAATTCAGTCTTTCTCGCTTCCATTTCTTTTGTTATCTTACATTTGCTTCACAGAAAACATTGACAAGAGGTGACTTTCATCTTACCCTGAACTTAACTGATTTATGTCTAATACAGAGATGGTTTACTTTTCCAACATAGGGATTTAATTAATAATTTGCTCAACAGCTTTTCAGCCTTGATGTGTAGCTTAAAGGGATACTCCACTTTTTTTTGAAACAGGCTCATTTTACAACTCTGCCAGAGTTAAACAGTTTAATTTTACCGTTTTCGAATCCATTCAGCCGATTTTCGGATATTTAGAAGAATATCAGTAACCAGACAGTTTCTGGTACCATTGACTTCCATAGTAGGAAAAAAATATACTATGGAAGTCAATGGGACCAGAAACTGTCTGGTTACTGATATAAAATATCAGATATAAATATCAGAAAATCGGCTGAATGGATTCGAAAACGGTAAAATTCAACTGTTTAACTCTGGGGGAGTTGTAAATTCAAAAAAAAAAAAAAAAAAAGTGGAGTATCCTTTTAATTAGCTATAATAACAGCAGTAATAAATTCAGTGCATCAGCCTAGTCTAAGGCTTAATGTGAGAATCCTATATTGATGTTCCACCCTTCTTCCCTTAGGTCTCACTGCTTTGCGCAGTGATGAAGTTATTGATTTGATGATTAAGGAGTACCCAGCCAAACATGCCGAGTACTCGGTCATACTGCAGGAGCGAGAGCGGCAGAGGATAACTAAGGAGTACTCTGTGAGCACTCTTAGTGCAGTGAGTAACACACTCTTTTATTCGTTATATAAATTATATGGTACTCTTATATACAAATAATTTTACTCCGCAAGGATGAATTACATTGCGTTAAACATAGGGATGTTAACGATTAATCGTCAAAACTTATCAATTAAGCAGGATCATCCGCAAAACATGTAAGCGAGCGCGCCGGTGTGGTGAAGTGTTGAGTCCCACTGAATGACACACACCGGAGTTGTTTGGGACTATTTTACACCTTCATCATGACTATAAGTTTGCGTGTGCATTCGCAGCCTTTTGTTTTGTACAAATGCAAGTTGTAATAGTTTATTTTGTGGATGCATTTGGTTAAGAATTGACGTGATCTTTAG